CGCGTGCAGCGCCGAGCGGTGTCGCGCGCTAATGATCATGCTTTCAAAACCACGTGTAACGACCCCTTGATTAACTCACGCTCGCTGCATCTCAAAAGAATGCGCTTTACTGCCCTTTATGCTCATAAGTTTATAGTGGATTTTCGCCTTTGTTGTGCTTTTCCCCGCAAAAATGCACGCGACGCATTCTCTCTGAAACTGTTACCTTGATAAGTGTAGTAGAAAATAAATAAATAGTTGTATTAAAATTATGTATTTCGAGTGAAATCACGAAAAATAATATAGGACAACATACGATCTTATTCTACGTCAGATATAAAACGTCACAAAAAGAAATACTGAATTGTTTGTAGCCAGTTCGTTTATAATAAAAACTTCAACAGTAACATGGAAAAGATAATCTTTATAACCGACTCTAAAAAAAAGGAGTAGGTTCTCATTCCGACTGTAGTTATACTCGTATACTGTATATGTTTTTTTTATTGCATTAGTACCCTGTACTGAGATTACTGTGAAATACATTTGGAACGAAGGGGAAATTAAGGTCTACAAACCTACATGTTGTGATTGAAATTTTATTCAAGCTTGTACAACAGCAGCTGTAGATATCATCAACTTTCCTCGATTATAAATAGATTTATAATACATTGGAAATGAATCTATTTTTTTCGGATCTATATCGCGTACATTTGCTGATTGTCAGTAGTAGAGATGGGCAAGTGTCCGGGTTTCAAGAATCGATACTACCTTAGCTCGAATTGAAAAATTTTCTAACACTAGCTTTAATTCAGAATATATTTTTAAACAAACCAAATTGAAGCCATTTGAAAAAAGTATATCGTACACTATAATACAACATTACCTACCTACCAGATTCAACGGCTATGGTCCAATAAAGAATACTTATAGGAAATGAAATATGGTGAAATTACAGGCCCATGGGGCTTGTCAACTTATATCTCATATCTTTGCGATTTAAAGCTCTGAGTGGCTCTGCAACTGTTATGGACAGGCTTACTAGTCGTGTGCCTGGACTTGTTCGTCCCATCACTTTATATTACAGAAAACAAAAAAAAGGTTTAGCTTTTACGTTTTATTGTGGACCACGAGTGTTCTAGAGTGACGAAATAGGAATAAATGTTGTAACAAATGTACTTAAAGAAACAAAGTATATGAATCAGACAGCGAAAGTATTTCCGCGGTTTAACAGAGACGATTACCTTTTCATTGAAATATGCGGTAACTGTGACCGATTCGGATTCAGCCTAGCTGGAGACCACATGCGCTTTTATGTGGCCAGCCTTTGATCTTGTGAGAATGTATGTCAGCCCGCATTTATACTCTCCTTTGGTTTATATTAGGCTGATTGGGAAAATGCAGCGGTCTTTTATTTAGTACTGGATTGCGTGATATATTACACAACATTATGCAACCGTTACCTGCCAGATTCAACAGCGATAGTCCAATAAAGAATACTTATAGGAAACGAAATATGGTAGAAATTGCACCCACATGGGACTTGTCAACTTATGTCTCAGGTTAACGGGCGCCATCGAGTATATAACCAGCAATAGAGACTAAATAAGGGCCAGCATTCCTGGTAACTCATCAGTGATTCATTACTTATAAATATTAATTCTCGTTTGCACTGAAATATAGACAGCGCCAACAAATGACCTGTGTGTACGTCTCCGTATATTCCAAAAATATTCTGCATTTATTGTAATAAAGATAATATCTTTAACAATAGGGTGGTGTTCCATTCGGTGGTGTGTGAAAAACAGCAAAACATCTAATTACAAAACAAACGGAATCACATTTCATCGGTAATTAAATATTAAATATGTAATTTTGCATTTTTCGTCTATTATAACAAATCTCAAGATAACTGGTCGATTTGAAGTGAAACAATTGACGACTCCCATTGACGACACCCGTCAATTATTTCGAGTTCGGGCTGGCCAATCGGAGCGCAATTGTCACAGTAATGATATGGCAGAATAATTTTCAAACAAATTAAATGATATTTCGTCTCTATTTCTGGATAAAATGCTGGATGACTGGCGCAGTGGCAGTTTCGGGTCGTTTACAGGTCCTATAGTTGCGGATAAAAGTTGGTTGGTGGAAAAAATAGTTTCATTTCCTATGAATAACAATAGCGAAAACCTAAGAACTCGATGAGAATAATTATATGGGGGCTGTAAAGGTATCTAACTGGGTGACGAAATATCACAGGTTTCTTATAGATGGCGCTACGGCTAAAAGGTCGTAAAACCAAATACAAAGATACGACGCAAGCACATAGAAGAATTCGTGAGGTCCGCTGGTTCGTTCCGTGGCTTAGTTGGTATAGCGTCTGCCACGGTTTGCTAGAAGACGTCGGTTCGAATCCGGCCGGATCGAAGGAATTTTTCTGAGTATTCGATCTTTGTATTAATAATTGTAACAAACTACTGGAGTAATTTCACATAAAAATAATTGAATAAAATAAAAAATATACACAAGAAGGACTTTGAAAAAGACGTTTAGTACGTATACCGGTTTCAAAATTGCATAATAGTTGTTGATCAATCAAACATTGTTTAAGCTTAGGGCCCTTTAGTGAAAATGCATAGTGGCTCCAATTATGTGTCCGGAAGTGTATTTAAGATACAAAATAAAAAATGGTATTTTGACTTACAACAACTTACGTGGAAGGTATCGCTATACATAATTTGTTTAATGAAGTTAATTTATTATTTTTGTTAGTTTTATGCATTGACTTACAAATAAATGGACGACGACGGGTCCCAAGTCAATCTATTTAAACGTAGTGACATGTAAAGGAATATGAAAAAGCTAAAACGTTGAATTTAAATTGTAATGTCATCGCAGTACTGTTTAATTTTGCTTGCTTCGCTGTCAGTCGAACAAAGGAAGACTAAAGTGTGAATGACTCTGTATACGATTTGACGCCCTATAAGTTCGGACACTTTTTAGCGCGGACCCGACGTCCATATAATTGTAAGTCAATGGTTTTATGCGATAAAAGCACTTTTGACATGTAGATTTATTACAATCTAGGGTACGAATATGTTTTGTTTTGCAAATTTGCGTAATAAATTAGCCTAGGTGAAAGTTGCAAGATAATTTTGTTCCCCGAATGTATCATGCATTATAATTACACTAATATAACTACCTAAGTTCTAATTGGACCAACCCAGCGGTGGTTGGACTAGTTGTTTCCCCTAATTGAGTTATTAGGTTCCACAACTTGCTAAAAATATTAATCATATTGTAGCGGCATATATTACGTCTACTCGCCGCGAGACGGTCATTTTCTTCTGCGAGTTAAGGTAAGTCCATGGGCCGCGTAGGTATCTTTATACTACCGAGATAGCAATATATCTATCTCGCTCTTGCAAATGATGTACCTACGGATTGGTTGATTGCGTACTCAAAACTTAGAGACTATACTATTCTGCGCTTTTGGATTAGTATAAGTATAGTGACATTTGTCCACCCCAATCCCCTCGTGGTGGTTGCATCCAATTACGTTCCCCTCAGGGAACATCTCCAACGTGTACGTAGAATTCGTAGGCCCAGGAAAGTCCTCAAAGTCTTCAAAGATGTTGATCCTATCATTCTCGCCACGTTAAAGGTCAACCAGATCGCACCTCTCTCCCAAGCATCTCGTAACGAGCATCCTTGCCAGCACAGCCTCCCATTTTAGCGTGTACTAGCGTAGACTCACCCCTACAACACGCCCTTCTGGCGGAAGTCTCCAGTAGCGTTCTGAGCCGAGGTCCATACCTACTTGGGCGCCCGCTAGTTCAGGCCCGCTACTTTGTTTTAGTTTTGACGGGTTAAGAGCCTTCAGTTCGTTCATTCATCCGGTGGCGCAGTCAAAGCCTTCAGCGATCAACTGCAGTGCCTTGCAGAAAAAAAAAACAAATGCATTTTGGTTCTGGTACAAACTCTCAACATCAGCGTTGCACTGAAACATACCTACAGCTTTAGAATTACCAGTAAGAGCATCTAAATCGGCGTCCCGAAGCTCCTTAAAATTAAAAAATATATATATTATATATCCCTCCTTAATTTAATGAGGCACAAGTTATAGAGTTTAAAAATGACAGTAAGACAAAAACAATTACACAGTAAAAACAGAATGGGGACTACGCCCATGTGTTAAAAATGAACTTAGGCCTTTGCTCAGTAGGAGATTGAGAGCTGTTTAAAAACAAACGTTCATTTCTTTGTTCATCAGTCAATCTTATATGGCTAATTCAACTTTGGTTCACTCTTTGTACCCACTGACCACGCATTGAGCTATGTATTCTTTAGGAATGTATTGCACTATCAATAATAAAGTGACCAAAATGAAAAAAACAACATTTTTCAGATAATATTTAATTAACTATGGCAACATACGAATTGAAAAATAAAGCCAAATATATCTTTTATCATTATTTTTATTTGGTAATCGATAGTAAGGGTTATCAATAATAAATATTTAAATTGCGTAAATAATAATAGTTAAGTGTTTTTTTTTTCATTCTCTTTTTATCAACACCCAACATTTTATGTTATAGTATCTGTCCGTGTTTATTTATTATGCAATTATTAACACAAAGATCGAACACAAAGATTAATTCCTTCGACTTGACAGGACTTCAACCGGTGACTTCCAAACTGGTGGTCTTGGCTCTACCAACTAAGCTACAGATCGAGTTAACGGGTCTTACAAATTTCGTAGGGATTTGTATGGTTTTTTTTTTCGCTTTTATCGACGTAAACGATATTTTTATTTATTACTTAGTGTAGTAAATTTTAGGTGTCGGTATGCTCGAAGACGGTCGCTTTGTCAGTTTTAGGCAATTGGCATATTAAGCACGCAAGGTTTTTATTACATTTTGTTAGTTTCTCAAAAATTTTGCTTTTCGCACTCCGACATTTTGTTAATGATGGTGCGATTTGGCATAGATTATTACATTCATTTTTAAATTTCATTGTTTTAGATGCAATTCAGCGATTCATTGAGATGCCCACATATACCGAGGTCAACCCTGGCGAGGATGCCCTACTTAAGTGCAGGATATCTGACAAGAAGGGCGTCTGCTCCTGGCAGAAAGACAATAAGGTACGTTTTTCTCTGAGTCATTTAATTTTTTTTCTTGTTACTGGTTGTTTTGCTGCTAATACTTTGTATCAGAACAAATAGAAGCTGTTTAAACCCGAGCGCACGTTGCAAGAGTACACAATGTTATGATATCTCATAATATAACAAGAAAAAAGCAATATTAAGTAAGAAAAATTACTAAATTACTTATTAAGTAAAACTCTACTGTAGCACGAATCAGATAGATATATAAGTATTTATACAACATAATGAGATATGAGAGGTAAAAATATCGAAAATTTGATAAATTATTTCTTGTGTGTTTTATTATGAGAATGAAGTTACTTCGGCAAGACAAATGTTGATTAGTGAAAGATGTTTATTTTAAGACTACGTACGTACGTAATGAAGGAGTCCTACTTATATTAAATTCAAATTATCTTTATTTAACAGGAAATACATAGTATTTAAGATCGCGAAATAGTTTTTAAACACTAGAGCTCATTCGTAAGTCAGACTCCCCTGTGAAGAATGGATACGAAAGTATTAGCTCGCCTTTTTTAAATGCTAGACAATCACACATGGGTCTAAAACTAGGAAATTCCCTATACTATGCGTACTAATTTTATTGAATTGCCCTGGTAGCCTAATGGTGTACTAACCGCCTCTTAAGCTGAGTCTATGGGTTCGAATCCGGGATCGCAGCTCAGAAATTCTAGAAATTTATGTGCCAAATTTAATTTGAAATTTACCTTGAGCCTTTTGGTGATGTAAACTGCATGTCGAAGAAGGTTCACAATCCTCGGAAAACGTGTTAAGTCTCCAACCCGCATTGGACCAGCATGGCGGACCGTCGCCTAAACACTCGCCTGAAAGTGCCATTCAAAACTTTAAATCGCAAAGGTCTGAGGGGCACTGCCGCAGCGCCCGACACCCTGAGACGTAAGTTGACAAGTCCCATGTGTCTGTAATTTCACCAGCACCTGTACCCTTCAAAGCTGGAACGCAGTAATGCTCACATTACTGTTTGGCGGCAGAAATAGGTAAGGCGGCAGTACTACCCTGGAGAAAGCTGTACTGCAATTAAAATGCCATTCTTCCATAAGTATGAACTTTGTATTGTTTTAACCTTGTTTACCTTTTGGTTATAGACTAAAATAGGAATATTGTTTTTACCAAGAATATCTAATCTTTTCAATATCTTCAACTCTACTTTACTAAACCCTGATTGATTTGAAAGCTACTTAAATCCCTACTTAACATTCGTAGAGGGCTTTATCTGTTCGGTCAGTAAAGCCCAAATTGACAAGTCGTAAAGCAAATTGTCTTTTTTACTATAGTCTCTACCAAGTAATTAAGAAACGTTCTATTTAATGTAGTTTAAAACGTTTGTTACCTAATAAGTAGTGAGTTATACGTACGTATGTTAAGTATTGGGTATGGCGAAATTTCCATTAGACAGCCTGTGAGCATTAGGTGCTTTGAAATTGTGTGTGGTTAATTTTCTAAGTTATGCATGTTTTATTTTTGAACAGTGCATATGTATTAGGTAATGTATAATAATAATAAAGCCAGATAACCACACCTGTGTCAAATTAGTCCATTAAATTAAAGTCGTGGCGCTACTCAGACACCATATATAGAGATGCTTATCTTATCTATTTCTGCCGCCAAGCAGCAATGTGTTCCAGTTTTGAAGGGTGGGATGTATCAACTTATGTCTCAAGGTGTGGGCAGTGGCAGTGCCCCTCAGATCTTTGCGATTTAAAGCTCTGAGTGGCTCTACAACTATTATGGATAGGCGTGTCATTGACAACCACACCCACGACTTGTTCGTCCCGTCATTCAAAAGTCAAAAACCCTAGATCAGAAGTGAAATAGAAAAGTTTAATTTCTAAAGAATGCGGGACTTTCACACCCAGCACCGACAGTGTTCGCCACTAGGATATTGAAGTTGTGTGTTTTGGGACACTATTTTGTAAATAGTTTGTATTCTCATACCCTGACTGTCAAGTCAAGTTCAAAGAATCAGTTATCAACGCGTTCATTTTATATTGACGACCTCGTGGTATCTGACGATGTGAATATCCCGGGTTCGAGTCGCAAAAGCTAATTTCACAATTACAAAGTACACAAGAAATGGACTTTTCTAAATATTGGTTCTGGTCTGAGTGTTCTCGGTAGTGCCGCGTTAACTTCTTTGCATTAGTACTCCAAGTACAGGGTTTTCATAATTCACACTATTATTAGTAAGTAACATTTTAAAGACTTGTTCTCAAAGCAAAATCCTTATCAAAATCGGAAACATTGTGTAAATTTTTAACCTTTAAAGTTATCTTAACGACTACCTAATTTGGTTAACATGACTGTCACCTGTTTCTAGGTAAAATTACTCATCAGATAATGCTTTATACATGTATTGAGTCAAGCAATGTCCTGGTGTTATCTACCTTTTGTATTGTCATGGTCCAATACCTCTCATTCGTACATTACGGCACGTAGTGTCGGTTAAAATGTAACGCGAATTTTAATACGCTCCTTAATGCATGTAGAGGTATGTATAAAATACTTATTCCATTGTTCGACGCTTCTTTTGTTTATATTTAACGGCCCTCGTTCGAAGCTTCTAAACTCGAATCCGAAGTCTTCAATTTCCGCTACAAAACTCATCAAGGAGCCCACAAAATGTTTTCCCGTTGGTGTTCTGCAACTTTGTATATCTCACGAAACTCTGTACGGTTTTAACCGAAACAAGAATAAAACAAAAGTGAGAGCTAAGTGTTTTCAACGTGCCTGCTTTGTTACTAATGGATTTTCAAGGCACTTCTGTTTAGGCTTAGTAGCATCAGGAACTGCCTACATCGTCCCTTACTTTCTGCCGTAGAGATGTTTTTGTTTTTTGGTCTGGAAGGGTGTTAGTGAAACTACAGGCGCATGGGACTTGTGATTTTTTTCGTAGTATTAGAGGTCCCTGTTAGTCCAGGGAAGTAGCCATCTCACCTGTTTCTGCTGACAAGCCATAATAGAGCTTAACAGCGTTCCGGTTTTGCAGAGTAAGGCTGAATTTACAGGCACATGGGACTTGTCAACTTATGTCTCAGGGTGACGGACGCAGTGGCGGTGCCCCTCAGATCTTTCTGTTGCTTCTCAGTGGTACTGTATGGTGGACAGGCGTGTCACTTGTTTTCCCGTCACCTGGTATAATGAAAAAAAAATCTCAAGGTGGCAGAAAAAGTGGCAATCCCTTCAGGTCTTCGCGATTTAAAGCTCTGAGTTTCATTGCAACTGTTATGTGTAGGCGTGTTATTTACCACCAGGCGCCCGTTTTGTTTGTTCCATCATTTGACATCACAAAAAAAGGGATCGTCTATTGTCGCATTAAATGTATTTTTTATTTCTAAAAAATGATCCTGCTGTCCTCCACTCAGTCGTGTCGTGTCATATGTTATTAGTTAACCCTATAGTTATCCCGGTTATAATAATAACTGTTGAAATTCTCGGTGACAAAGACGAATATTTTGTAAAGAAATTCCTAAAGGACAAAACACGTGTTGTCAAAAGTTTCCAACTAAAACCAGTCGTATGTTCCCTTCAAACGCGATAGTAAGAAACGCTTTCGGCATACCGATTAGGCGAGCATTTAACATAGTATAACCGAGCTATCCTGGATGCCGCTATGAACAATCGTGGTCGGGACGCGAGATCTGAATCTTAACTAGACTTAGTCACGACTCTTTAAGTTAACTGCATTATAAAGCCTGCATCTAGTATTCCACGGCTTGGCGTTACTTCCAAATGGCTACGTGTATACGACTACACTCGCGTCTTAGTCCGTAATCACGCAAAGCCATGTTTTTTCATTCAACTTTTTAACATTTGGTTCATACTCTTTGTTGAAGGAAAATAAAATGATGAAAAAAACTTAACTTTGTTGTTTAACGTTATAATGTAATTTGTTTTCATTTTAACCTATCAAACAATATGATAGCAATAAGCACAATTATTGCACAATCATTTGTAACAACAATTTTAGTAACAAATTTAATTATGTTGTGTCAATTCACTAAAAAGCCAAAAATTCACTTGAAATTGTAATCCGTTTTTTTTTCAGTCTTATTTTTAGGCCTCGTCTAATAACAAACAATGCTCATAGCATTGTCATTACATTGTCAATTACTTGCGCTTCGAAATTAATACATATATTTTATTTCAAGAAATATCTACATGAATATATATTATGTAGATATAGAATCATTAATAGTTAACACACGTGTTAATTTAGATTTCTCACTGTATCACATTTAGAACCTTATCACGTGCGCTTTATCTTCTGTTTTCATTTATGACATACTTAATTCAGAATAACGCACTGTATGTAGATCACTTTCATAGTTAGCTAGAGACGGACGTTAGAAATTAAAGTCATTGTGTACATAAAGTGAATATTTGAATTTGTATTCTAATTATGGTAATGATGTCCTTTCTTGGGCGTTCATTTTGTTAACATCGTCCATTGTTTGGCTTCAAGGTGGGCTTTAGGCTCTTACCTAATTATTGTGCTGTTGATTTTAAGAATATCGTGACTTGAGTATAATTATATCTCATTAGAAGGTGTGGTAATGACATTTTTATCGATGAGTACGTGTTCAAGGTCTACTTAAAAAAATGTAGGAACACACTTCTATACGAAATCATACTGAACAGTAAAACAATTGTACATACATACCTACGATGTAAGCACTACTAAGAACGGATAAACAAAATGTCAACCGTTTCTATCCATACAGTTAATTCCTCAATAAAAACAACATGTGACAAATTACCTTTAACAATATAAAGATTTGAATAAGCGGTCCCTTGTATCGACACAATAAGTTTGACGGCAATGACAAAAGCCTCATAAGCGTCATTACGATCGCAGTCACGACGCCAGGCTTCGTGAGTCAGGCTTGGGAACCACCAGGCCTTGCTAAATGCTTGAATTCTCAGCTCCAGGCGTTTCGGGTTCGTCGTGGCTTATG